TGAAAATGGATTATGGTTCCTGGATAAAAATTCAGCACGCAAATATTACCCCCGCTGTCTCTAAACAAGCGTGGTTCCATGAGGTCAGTTCTGATCTACAGCCACAGAGGATCCATCTCAGCTGTATTTTCTTTGGCACTTGGCAAGCCTGGGGAATACTTAGGAGCTTGAATTCTCTTCCTGCAGTCATTTGCAGTGCTACCAGAGTTCAAAGGCGTCCCTCATCAGGATGCAGTAGCCCTTCTCATGGTCTGTCTTTGATCGGGATCATTAATAGGGTCACCTTTGATCAGGCCTGGTAATAACTCTCATCTGACATGCTGTGTTGTTTAGCTGGTGGGTTTAGGCTGGGCTGCTTGTGCAAAAGGCAGAGTCATTGTAGCACTGCGTGGCCCATATAGTTGTCCCTTTTTTAACCAGGTAGAAAGTAAGAACACAGTCAAACTAAGCATCTTCAGTAGAAGCCTTGCTTAGTGCTCCTGAAATGGATAGGAACCTTCTGCAGCTTTTCATGGGACTTGGGGAGAAGGGGAAGCCTCTGTGTGTGTGTACACACATGCCTCAGTTGTTTGTCACACCACTCCTCAAATCCTGCAGTGCATCCAAAATGCTATACTAGGAGTCTTCATTTTTTACCTGTGATCCTTATTGCTGTCATCTGTGGGGTTGGCAACATCCACCTTCTTAGCGGGAAATGTAATGGTGTCTAAATCTGCATCTCGATTCCAGCTCTCCCCTTGAAAAAAACCCCAAAGAGCAGGTGATTATCCCACATCAATCCATCCCTGGTGACTTTTCCTCATGCCAAAAAATCCAGCTTTGCAGGTTTGTAGAATGATCCACAGTGACTGCTTGCTTGTTAGCTATGAAATTGTGACGTTGCACAAGAAAATTCATCCTGTGCTATTTACCAATAAAAGAAGGTTAGTGCAGCTGAATCATGGGAATGGGATCAACCAGTTCCTCAGGTAAGAGCTGGGAGTTTCGTTTGGGTTGTTGATAGTACCTGTTATCAGTGTACCTAAATGAAAACATCAAGTGTAGGCCCAGGCAGAGAGCTAGTAGTAAGTAGCTAGTAGGACAAGAACAGACATCATGCGATTCCAGTTTTCTTCCCTTTGGGTTGTGGTCCTCTGGTGGTTTTGTCATTCTTGCGAAATCTTTGATACTTCATTGCATGCTGCCTTGAAAAACCTACTTAATATCGTGTGCGGAGGGACAAACGCGATTTGGGTTCTGCTTTCCTTCCAAGTTTGGGTCCTGTGACAGATCAAAGGGAAAGGACAGCTCCTGCAGGAGCCAAGTTTTCTAGAGGATGTAGGTCAGCCATGAAAATTCATACCATTTTAGAGAACTAGATGAAAACCAAATTGCTTATTTGGGCCCTTGAATGCTGTTAGAACGGAAGCATCTTAGAAAAAAGATACATCGTGTGATTTCTATACACATTTTTCAGCCATGTCAGACAAATCAAAGAATAGCTTCCACTAAGTATCTTCTTTTTTTTTTTTTTTTCTGCCTCATGCTGGCTAAAAGCAGAAAAGGAAGTAAGGTGTTAAAATATGGAAGTTTACTAACGAACAGTGGCAAAGAGACAAATTCAGGCAGAAATTCAGGCAAAGATTCAGATTGTTTGGAGTCTGTTTCATCTGGTGATGTAAACCTGAAATTTCATGAGTCAATGAAGCCAAGCCAGACTCCCCCCACCAGTTGGCTGCAATTTGTTTATACCATTGTTATGTATCAAAAATTTGTTTAAAAAAAAAATAAAATTCAGGAATTGTCTGTGTCTGAGGCAATTTCCAAGTTTAGAAGAGAGCTCTTTAACATTGACCTGTAATCTTTCTTGTCAAGTGGTAAGAAATTGCTGACTTTTAGAAGATCATTAATTCTTTGATTAACTCACCCCAAACTTCCAGCATGATCTTATTCAGTAGTTTGTTTCTCCCCTGGAAATGACTCTCAAGATGATATTCTCCTTGAGTCATTAAGTTGGAGCTTTTTCAGCCACACTCTAATAATTTTCCATGAGAAGTCATTCATCATTTCGGTCCTTCCTATTTTAACAATACTTTGATCAGAGTTACCTCTGATAATAGGTTGACATCTAATTTGGGACACCATTTTGCACCAAATAAAACATTGAAGTTTCCTGAGGCTATCAGAGAATAGGAGCAGTGGAGGGACAGGGAGTTCCATTTTTTTTTTTTTTTTTTGCAAATAGCTTTACGAGTTCTAAAGAAAGTAGAGTGGTGATTCATTAGAGGGAGAAGAAAGGAAAAAACAATCCCCATAGTGGCATACATCTCACCCAACAAAGAGGCAGAGCTAACACCAGCGCGAGGAGAACTTGCAGAAGAGAAGGAAATGAGCAGCCACGGTCTGAGGAGGGTGACCACGGGAGATGAAGTTGGGGTGGGAAATGAGAAATTGGGGTTTTTGCTGCCCTTCCTGAACATGAGCTGGGTCAGGTTCTGGGCTGTTACCGCTGGCAAATTCCCTATCTGCTCCGACGTGGAGCCACCTCAGCATATTTCTTATACATATGTTTAAGATGGTGCTGCTCCACCTCACAAGTCTTCTACAGGAGTTATTAAACCTTTTCTGTGCGACAGGTGTCTGTGACTCTAAAACGCTTTTAATAGAATGGAAAATTTTGTGCAAAAGCAAGTATCGGTTTTTTAGTTTTCAATAACTTATTTGAAATATTTCTGTCCCAACCCCATTTGGTTTTGATTAATACAATCCTACAAAATTGTATTCATTGTTTTTGATGGTAATGCATAAATATTGACTTTTTTTTTTTTTCCCCCCCTTTTAAACATTTTTTATTTTATATGGCAAAAATGATTTCCTGGCCTTCTCTGCCTCTACATACATACAGGTACATATTGTGGTTCTATGTTGAATTATATAATAGAATTTTACCCTGTCCTTGATAACCTCTAGTGGGATCTCCATGTCTAGATACACCAGCTTCTCCTGCAAAACAAAAATGGAGATGACACATCATTCTTGATTTATTTTGGCTGTCTCCCACCCAGTGCACTCTTGACCTCATAGCTCACACTCAGGTGAAACCACCATCTGTGTTCTTTGCAGCAGAATATTCTTCAGATCACCCCACACTGATGTGTGCCAGAATTCTCTCTTGGAAGTGCTGTCATGATGACAGAAACCAGCCACACCCAGAGTCTGTACCATCAACTGAAGGATGCATGGCTATGGTTAATACTTTCTTTTAAAGGGGAACTCAAAGCTGAGACTGGACAAGACTTTTCCAACAGCTCCTCGCTCCAAAATTTCTTCTCATTTAAACTTTTGTGCACATCATATGAGCAGTTAGTTCTGGAGGGCTCTCCCTCTGCATGCAGAAACACTTGCGTGTTCTCTCCTGCCATGCATGATTCTTCCAAAGAGAGAAGATAATCATGCTACAATTAGTCACAGCTTAGTATGCCAGTTTTTCTTCAATTATACCACTGGGACTCTCAGGCTGGGCATCTGAGAAGAGTAATTTAATTCTGTAGGTTTGCCTAAATAAACACCTAGCCTTAGCCTTAGTACCACTACCCTTTTCCCATTTTTATTCCCATTGTTCTTCTCTGTGGACTCAGTATTTGTTTGCAATAAGAGAGCAAACAGCAGCTAGCCTGTCTGTGACAATACCTGATCCATGATGTATCAGGGAAGAGCAACAAGCACAGATTTTCCTCCCCATGTGCTAGGTGATTACACACTGAGAACTTCAGGGAGAAAGGGGTGAAGATTGTCAAATGTCCCACCATGAAGTTCAGTTTCTGGTCAGACTACAGAACTACTATAAGAAAAAAGAACCCCAAAAGCTTGTATAATTAAAATAAGCAAATTTCAGGCTGTTTCATCCCCCCCTCATTGACTTCTAGGAATCTCATTCTGTGCCTGGATGTAGATGGCCTGAATAAAATCCACTCAGGCAAGTAACAATGTGCAGTGCATGCAACAGCACAGAGAGCATCCTGTTCCTAGGAGAAATGGAGTCTGAGCCTTACCTGGTAGTGCCAGCAAGAGCAGCAGGGCTGGAAAACCCCCCATCGTGAAGTAGAAAGTGTTTTAGGGCAGAGAGGGAAAAAAAAAATATATCCCAGAGCTTTTTTATCACTGAGAAATTCTCTGTTGCAGAGGAAGCTAACTTGCTCCGTCACTTGTAATCGTCCACTGCCCAGAGTGATGATGCCAGTTTGGAATTGCTGAGAATATCTTTTAACCACAATCTTAATATTACTTCTTGGGTGGAAAGGCTGCATAATGTTCACTGGCTGCTTTTTCACTTTAAACATATTGTTGTCTAGATAGCCATATTTAGCAATCAGGCCATGTGGCTGGAAAAAAAAAAAATGGGCATTTTTGGTCTCTAGTGCTACCTGGATATATTACAGAGCAGCTTTCAGTCAGATGTGTTCACCCTTACTGTTGCTTTGCATTTACTCACATGCAAGTTTTACATCCCTTGTTCCCAAAGCCCTTGTACAGTGGGAGAGAACCGTCCCTGTGCCATCACGGAGGCAGAGGATGGCCCTGCCTGAGGTCTCTCAACAGTTTGCAGCTGGAACTAGGACCCAGATCTCCTGGTTAGAGCTGTGATTCTCTTGTTTTATAGCGTGTCTAGCTGGGCACCACAGTCCCATCTGGGAATATTGAGACTAAGTTTGTGTTAGTACAGCTGCAGTGGTGTGTGATTGTGTATGGGCTAATTTACCCTCTGGAGATAGAGGAAATCAGTTTCGACAGAACACAATCAGAGCTTGATCTGGTCTGGGGATCTGAGCTGCTGTTTCGGCGTGGTGCTAAAGGGAGCTGGCTGTATGTGCCAACCTGCCCAGCTGGCTCAGAGCATTTCTGTACATTAGAAACACACCGGCACGTTTTTAAGTGGTGCCTCTTTCTGGCGTGATGTATTGTGGTCTGGTGTACTGCAGCTCTTTAGCATGAATCTACACTGAGTCAGATAATCGGTTTGATTTTATTTAGCTTTGCAGGCAGTGCAGGGAAAAGAAGTGTGAATGCCCTTGGGTTTGGGGTCTTCCTGGGAGAGCTAAATGCAGCTTCACTTTGGGGAGTCATGAACAATGATCACATGTTATTAACATCCCCTTGAGAGGGGAGAAAAAATACAGGGAGAAACACAGAGAGGCAGTTCATTCTTTGTTCACAAAGTCATTTGAGAAATGAGGCAGCAGGTTCAGAGCTGCACGTAGACTTCACAGCCCTTTCTGTTGTGTTCTGTGGTTCCTTCTGCCTTTCCCAGCGGCTGCTCACCAGGGATCCACACTGTCCAAGGCAGTTTTTGAGAGACGGAATCTCCTCTCACCTGTCAGCGCTCTGAGATGACTTGAAGCTGGTGGGTCTCAGTTCAAACCCTGGTAGAATGATGCTGGGGATGATGAGTACTGGGATGACTCTGTGTGGTGCCGTGGCACAGCTCCTGGCACTGACTGGAGATGATAGCAGAGCACTGCATTGCCAGAAGTGTGTCAAAAGCTTCAGTATTTAGAGAGTGGAGTCTCAGTAAAGCTGATTTTTAGACAAATAATAATAATGTTAGCTTTCAATACAAATCATCTAGTGCTAGTTACATTTCATGCTTTCAGGGGAAGCATTTGAGTGTTTTATAGAGACATGTAGGACACCTTCAAAAAAGCTATTAGTTCTTTAACACTGATCTTCAGTGAATCATGAGAGATTTCTTGGAGATTTGAGACAAAACCATGTCTCCATTTTTACATTATGTGGATGTGTTTGTGAGTTGCTCGACACAGGGTTGTTGAGATGTGTTACCTGAACTTCTGTTTACTGGTGTATCTGTAGTTTCATTTATAACAAAGCATTTGCCAGTAGCTGGATAGAGTAGCGGGTTTGTTTTTTTTTTTTTCTGGCCTAGCAATGAGCTGGGGGAAAACTGAGTAGAGCTCTCTCACCTTCACCATGCCTGGGGAAGCATCTTTGCACATAGATAAGTCTGTGCTGAATCTCTTGACAGAAAGACTTCATATTCCTCCTTTCCCTCTGGCCCTTGATCCTGTCCTCTTCCACTAGGTTCAGGGGTTACTGGCAGCATCTTTTCAGTTCAGTTGTGTTGGCAAAAGTTGGTCGGCGCCAATGAGAAGAGGTGGTAGATGGTGACATTCCCTCTCCAGAGTGATGGGTTCATCGATATCTGTGTTTAGCAGGCGATCCTTTTCTTAAGGCAGGTGGCAAAGCTTTGCCTGCAAATGCTCGATGTTCATTTCTCTGTGGAATCCCTGTGGTTTGGCCCTAAGCAGTGCTCTCCCAGGAGGGGCTGATTCTTCCACGTGCAGAGCCATCAGCAAAAGGGAGGACCTGCTGCTCATTCAAGCTTGGGTTCTTCTGCTCTGTTTCTCTGTTCTTCCTACTGTTGCCAATGATAAACATCAGCACAGCCACCGCAAACTTAGTAACCAGGAATCCAGCAATGATATAGAAGACGGTGAAATCAGCTTCAGGAGGGATGCTGTAGGGAACCATAAATACAACAATGAAGGGGATGGTTGAACCTTCAAAGACACTCTTGCAGTACACAGTGTGAAGATGGTAACAGAGATGTGCACAACAGAGCCTGGGAGGTTAGAACAACTATAATATGTTATCTCACACAGCCATAAATTACCATTGGTGGGAGTTGTTTTGCTTGGCACTGAAGCACTGAATTTTCTAGGTTAGGATAAAGCTGCTGTTTAGAAACCCCACAGCAGCTCTAGGAATTGTTATAGATTAGGAAAAGGTAGAGAATACGCATGTGGTGGTATTCCTCTCAGCTGCAAATGGGGTTGCTGATGCTAATCTGCCTTAGTCCTAGGAAGAAATCACAGCATGGGAAGTTTTATGGTTTACCTGGAGATGCTCTGCACAGCTCTAGGCTCCTCTGGCATTTGGGTGTCCAGGACAGCTGATGATAGAAAAAGAACAGTTTAGTCTGCAGATGTTTCTGGGTGATACTCACTGGTGTCACCAACAGCAGTGCCTCAGCTAAATTTAGATGTAACCAAGCTGAGATTGAGCACAGGGCTGTGTGCTAGAATATTGATCTGTGCAGCAATGAGCAGATGATGTGTGTTAGATGTCCTGTAACAGTGAGGTCATGTTGCTGTAAATCAGGAACTAAAAAGAGGCAATGAAACACAGTTCCTCCTTAGAGTAGGACAAAAGTAGATGTTCACTGAAGTGAGGCCTTGGCATCTGCAGACACGTGAAATTTAAGCAGGAACTCATGAAATTCAGAGCCCCAGGACGTACCTGTCAGCACTTCCACTTGCACCTTCCTTAAGCTGTTTGTTTCCCCCAGGTAGTCAGTTTTGCACTGGTACAGCCCAGCATCCTGCTTCCTGAGTCGCTTCATGGTCACTGTCAGGACGCCCTCACGGACGTTGTCACTGATGGAGGTGGTGCCGTTCCTGTTCTTTAGGAACGGCAGCCAGAAGCGTCGGGCACTCACCACGTGTTGGCACGTGGTCTCGTCGATCTGTTTGCACCAGCTCTTTTCTCTCCACCGCTGCTGCCAGGGGTTATAGGTGCAGTTGACAGAAATGGTGTCCCCCTCCATTCCGTACACCACAGTGACGTTCTCTGCAGCACAGGGTGCTAGGAGAGAAGGACGAAGGGGTGAGCCAAGTCTCTCGCGTATCTATCCCTTACCACTAGGTTTATGCTAAACAGCATTCTCATCTTTTACAACTCTAGTGATGGCTGCTGTCTACTGTAGGGCTGTCACCTCTCTGCACCCCCCATGAAAGATACAGTGTGCTCAGATTCAGAGTCTTGCTTCAGACTTTCTTCAGATACATCTGTGGCGAGCCCTCTGACTGGGGTGTTACTTGGCTCTTGCCAGGAAGCTGTTCTTGGGAAGGAGGAGACATCGACTTCATTAATATTGCAGATTTTCTGAAGCTCAGGAAATTTTGGTCCTTGCCTTCCCTTCTGGCCCTGGTCTGGATTGCAGTCTGGAGCTCAACCTCATCACACTTTTCTGTAATCCTTGGGCTCCTGCCCAGTAAGGGGAAGCTATTTGTCAGCATGATTAGGCAATTAAATATAAACTTGCATTTTCCTCTCGTCCTGAGGAGCGTGAAGCTGAGCCTTCAGGTAGATTGAGTTGACATCTGTCTTGATTTTTAAAAGCTCTTTTTACCAGGCAGCTCATAAAACCACGGCTTGACCAAACAATGACTAATTGTTTCTGTGTAGCTCTCCTTAGGCTAGTCTTGCTCTGCAATGTCCAACCTGCTTACTTGCATACAGCTGCAGCAAAGCACCTTGCTTCAGGTCTAGAGCTCAGCACTTCCACACACGTCCACAGATGCAGATTTAGCTTTGGAATACCCTCTGCTGTGGAAACGGTCCTTCGCAGTTAATGCCCATTAAGTTTATTCCCATTTTAAAGCTCTTTACACAGAGAGAGAGAAGCAACACAGCGCTGGAAAATGAATCCCCTAGAATCACAGTGACACCTACAAACCAGTGCCCAGCTAGCTGTTTAGGAGTTTACTTCTTAATCCCACTCCTAATTTCTAAATCCAGGATTTTAGCAAATTTTTTCACCCTATCTTTTAATATCCTATTCATTTTAATCATGTTGACGACTGGTCTTTGGCTGCTTGGTCTTTTTTTTTCTTTTCTGCCTTAGTTCCTTGTTTCTAAATTTCCATTCCTCTTTATGGTAGGGAAAGGCAGAGGGGACAGTTTGTGCCATTAATACTTTTAGAGAGAAGTGCAGTGTGGTATTTGTGGAAATCTCTATATTCCTAGTGAAAATTCAGAGGCTAGTGCCTTCTGTGAAACTGTAAGTAGTGATAAAATGGAAGTAAATTAAAAAACAGGCTCTCGTGAGGACTTTGTGCTGGCCAAGCCTTTTCATAACACTTCTTAAAATAATTTTAACTATTTTAAGTGAATTCTAAACTAAAAACCCTGAAGATCTTTCAGGCTTGACTAGAAGGCAGCATAAAAACGGATCTGTGCTCTCCAAGTATCCGACACTTACAAGTCTTTATCCTGCTATTTTGCTCCACTCAGTTGTTCCAGTCAAGGCTTGCCTCACTGCATCTCCGGTCCAGTCCTGTCCAACCCCTCTGAACATTTTAACTCCCTCTCCTATTCCTCTTGTGGACCCCTTCTCACCTCCAGTTCTGCCCCTTCAGCTCCTGGAACAGCCCCAGCATTTTGGTTTTTGGTTTTGTTTCAAAGAGAAAGAGCACCGCAAAAAAATCTCTTGATCAGAATCATGGCATTTAAAGATTTGCTGATGCCCCTGTGGAAAACTTTGTGTCATTATCTTTTCAACCAGTTCTGCTGACAGATCATTTACTATCTGTGTTCCCCCTCCCTTGTTGTGTGCTACTGAAAAACGTATAGTGGACTTTTTTCCAAACTCGATCAGAATTTGGAGACAGGGTTTTTTGTGCTCCCAAAGCCTGAATCTCTTGCCCTTTCTGTGCACTGCTGCAAATATCTGGGATCAAAGATGGAGAGAGAAGGCTGCCAGCTGGGCCCTGTGCCTTGTTTCTCCTTTCAGATGCACATTGCTTTCCAAGCTGAAAATAGCCAACTGCCCAAGATTTCAGAGCTGTCCCCTTCGCTGAGTTTTATTTTCCTCCTCTTGAACCCTAGCTGCTGCAATTTACACTCGAAGCCCCACCAATGCAAACAAATGTGATTTTGCAATTTCACATTTTATTCTGTCGATGGTGTTTCCTGTTCAGACACAAAAGGATCCCGAGGAGCAAAGCGGAGCACTTGGCTCACCGCTGGCCCTTTGTTAAATTAAGGGAAAAGAGCAAGTTCTGGGGAGGGAGTCTGCCATCCCTGCAGTGTAACTGGGGAGGAAGAGCAGAGCACAGAACGCTGCATTGTGTTCCCTCCGCCTGCATTGCAAGGGGCCTCGCAGTGCACACACACAGGCAGTGAGACCCTTTAGCAGATCTTTGTACTGGTCTTCCAAAGACCTGCATGCTACAGCGCAGATGCCTTTGCATCCAGGAAAAAGCTACTGTGTTTTAAAACCTGTACAGTCTTTTCCCATAGCTTTATCAGTAACCTCACACGAGGTTCAAGTGGAGGCTAAGTTTTGCAGTAATTCTTTGCCCTATCTCAGCTGAAGCCCCAGGCCATGTACGCCTTCTTACCTGACAAGAAGATCAAGAAGATGAGGTGCACGAGCTTCTCCATGCCAGCCGAGCATCAAAGGGGACAAGAGAAGAGTCTGGAGAAAAGTGAAAAAGGCTCTTGCCCAAGAGCAGCTTGCTTTTCCCTCCTCATTGCTCTGCCGGAAGGAATGAGCACAGGAACTTGGCATTCTTTTTCATTCTGCATATTGAGCAATTCACCAAGGACAGGCATTTCTCTTGTGGGCTGAAAATTCAGGCATCAGCATTGCCCACACGCAGCCATGATTTTGTCTAGACGGCCTGAAAGGGAGCATCATGTGATGGCCTGTAACCCTGGTACCCGGAGTCTCTCTGAGAGCAGCGATGGTGCCTGTCTGCCAGGGCAGGCGTTACACGCAGACTTCACATGGGCTGGATTTCTGGAAAGCCAAAAGGGAAAGGGCAGCTCTCACTGAGACCCTGCAGGTAGCTCAGTCAGCATCACGAGGGCGAAAGGAGGGCAAGGACATAATCTTGTGGGATATTTTCAGGAGAAAGAAGATGTAGAAGAGCCTGCACATGCAGCATTCCTATTTGACATATAGCCAAAGACAGGAAGGTTTGTGTTGGGTGAGGCTCTGAGGTGCTTCAGATGAGCAAAATGGGCATCTGTATTTTGTGCCTAGCAGAAAGGACGTAAGATCAAGGGATGGGGACACTGATTCAGAGCCTGTCAGTGCCATACTGATGCAAGACTGCAGGTAAGGGAGCCTCCTTTAGCGTTAGCAAACTGGTATGATATGGATGCGTTGCTATTTTTTCTTTTTAAAACTTATTTACTTGGAGATCTTCCATGCGAATAGTAATAGACCCTGGCTTATTAACTCATGTGCTGTCTGCTTCTTAACAGGCAGATAAACCTAAGGGTCCATCCATTCCAAAATGTGCCACCTTTTTCTTTCCTCTGATCAGTGTTTAGGAAAATGGTACCTTACAGTCCCCAAAAATTCTCCATGAGGCTTACTGATGGCAGGTTTTGTTCATTCTTGCTCCAGTGAGCACAAATCTGGATTCTCTTTGATCAGAAGCAACTGCCTCCCTGAAAATGTTTCACTTCCACTCAGTTGTTTTCTACTATTACTCTTCTACTGTTTGACCTAGTGTAACTGCATGGATAGTTAGAGGAATTGTGGGGAGAATGAACCATTTCCAGAAGCATTTTCTTTTCTTTCTGTCATTTCAAGTTAAACATGTCAACTGCGAAAAAAATCCCAAAAACCAGATCAGCTTCCCTGCTGCAGCCATAGCAAGAGAAGCCTGTTGGATGTGACTGGCTCCTGGACAAGGAGTGGTTCAAGCCCCTTAAATTTGCCACCTGTCTGCAGAGCTTGGTGCAGCCAAAGAAAGTGTCAGAGTTTCTGGTCTTTTGGAAGAATTGAACCGAGTCCCAGCAAACTCATTTCATATTGTTCACCACATGACTGCTAAATAAAGGCAGCAAACGTGTCATCTGGAGTGTTTCCAGCAGAGAGGGGGAAGTAATGGTATCACTTTCCAAGGCTCTGGTGAGCTCTCCCATGAAGCTGCACATGCATTACGGGTCTCCTACAACTTTAGGAGAAGCCACAAAAGCTTGCTTTCTATGAAAAAAAAAAAAAAAAAAAAAGTGCTGGCAATAGGCCTGCTGGTTTGTAGTAGTCTTCCAGAGAACTTCCACAGAACCAGCTGCACCGGTGAACAGGCTGGGAAGAGCTGTTTGAGGTACAGCAAAGTGCTGCAAAAAAACAGAGGTACATCTGAGACTGACTGGCGATTCCCACAGAGCTGCAAAGATGCCTCATGACAATGAATGTGAGAGACCGAGTGCATTGGAAAAACACGTTTGAAAGTTGATGGTGTGATTATTTCAGGTTAGCAGGGTTTGACGAGGTCCCAGCCAGCCTGGTGTTCCTGTGGCAGCTCTTGGAAATTGCCAACCTGCGTCAGAGCAGCACGGGAGATCTACAAATATATTGCGCGTCTGGCTGACTTGGACATTTTCATCTGTAAATAATCCACTCTTAAGTACCATCATATCCTTTCTGTTACATCATCTGATGTTGAGGCCAGCCCTCTGATACTCCTTCCTCTGTTGTCTCTCACATTTCCTGCAGCTTCTGCACACAGCCTACCAGCTTCTGGCTCTGTGCTACTGTCTGTACAGACCAGCCTCACGTCTGGCTCAGGGCTCACCTTTGCAGTTAGCACAGCAAGGCAAAATCTGTCCAGAAACGTCCCAGCACCCTGCCCGCTCCTCTGGTGTAATACCACATGTTGTTCCCTTCTTTCTTTTCCCCAGAAACACTCATTTTTGGTTCTCCCTGCTTGCCTTGATTCCACACCGCCTTGGTGTAAGCAGCCAGTTTGTGTGTTCTGGGGAACGGAGGGTGTAAGGCAGGAGGCCAGGCAGAAGTTGTTGAACAACGGGCCTTGGATGAGGGGGTGGTGAAAGGATGGGGCAGGCTGCACAAGCTACACATGGGAAGCCATGCCTGTGCCTTCAGATTTCAGCTGCTGCTTCATTCTGGTTTTAGTGTACGGACCTCAAAGGCTGTGGACGACCCTGAGAGCAAATTCAGTCCTCAAGCTTGGAAATAACTGAGCTGTGTAGAAGGTACAGTGTGGGAGACTCTCACTAGTGTGATCCACAGCAGCTGCGCTGAGTCCATCCCACAACCCCCTGCACTCTGTAAAGGGACACTTGTACATCCACGCAGTAGCATCATCACCTTCCCTCCCTCCTACCCCCAAACTCCAACATGCGCACTCTATTTCTTGATCTAAAGCTAAACATTGAGCTTCAGTTTGAAAGCCTCTTACCATCTTACTTCTTGCCTAAGCAGACTGATAAATTTAGGTAACAGAGGAGTTTGCATTCAATCTCAGCAAGGGTCCATATTGCTTGTACACACGGGGGGTGTTTTGTAGCTACAAGACCTTCTGGTGCTCAGATTCAGGCAGCACAGTCCTCACAGGTTTGCAAAGTCTGCAATGCAGCGTATCGTTGTGTTGCAATACACCCTCAAGCTATTTGCCTTTGGGTAGATGCTGGTTCTGTTTATTCTTATAATCCAGTGCTCATATCCCCCACCCATTACACGGCAAATGAACCCGCTCACGGCAAGGTTAGAGTTTTACCCCTGCAGCACTGGAATGAGTTTTCTTGGCCATAGTAGCTGAACTCTTAGGTGTGGGATAGAGTTTCTACCAGTGAACATAGTTGAAATACCAAACCCATCCATGTCCCAACAAATATTGCTCTTTTTTCAAAAGGTCAGTCCTCCATACCTGCCCCTCCAAAAGAGTTGTATTTTAATGGAGTTGGGGAAAACAGATGTGCAAGGGATCCTGACAATTACCCAGCACCTCTGCCTAACCCAAGCACACTTGTGGCAAAATTCTCTACTGGCCTCTAATAGGAGAGAGGACTTAAAATATATAGGCAACATACTCATGGCAGCAAAAATTAGATCTTTCCCCAGTGTCCATCCACACACCTTCTACTCCCCATTCCCACTTTGTATTCCAGTTCTTTTCTCCCATTTCTGGACTGTTTTGGGATTCCGTGCTTCATCCTTTGTCATTCGTTGGTACCTGCTTGAGTGCAATGATAGCATATTCCACATTTTCATCTTTGGGTTTCCTGTGAGCCTGACTTGGTTCAACATTACAGTAGAGAGGATCCTCAGGGATGAGTTGGGATGTAAAGTTCAGGGTAACATATTTCAGGTCTTTGCTGTCATCCTTGGGACTTCCTATTCTTCCAGTGCTGTCAAGCTGTGAAAAGAAAGGGAAAACACTTGTTAGCATGATTCAGTGCCAGGTCACAGCTGTTACCAAAAGAACAAGATTTTCCCAGGGAGAAAAGGAGAAGCAATGTAAAAACTTATCCTTGGTCATGACAGAGGTGAAAGAATAGAAAACTCTTTCCTTCATCACCTCTCCTGGATAAAGGTTACAGCCTCATTGTCTAACCTCGGTTTCTAGTCTTTGAGTCATTTCTCAGAGGTTACTAGAATTTGCTCCACTGTGGTTTTTTCCTACTGGAGTTTCCTTAACTTAATTACCCCCGTCTCTCTCCACCTAGGAACATTCCTCTGTCTTGTGACAAACAGCATTTCCCCTCCTGCTCACAACCAGAAATGAGCACCAACATCCTCATCGGATGGGTCAGCCAGCTGCTATTGGTAAGGGATTCAGGACCATATGGGAAATGTATCGTTTTCCTTACCTGTGCTCTGTCCTCTGTATTTTCATAGATGTCCTCTGCTTCTGTGTTACCTTTGGAAAGAACCCAAACCAGAGGTTTTAGAAGTAGTGAAAAGCCTGGGCATTGCCTGTGCTTCGGGAGTTTTGGGGAAAGCTGTGGGATGGCCCAGTGATAGAAGCAGTGGGTGTGCCAGTGGGACCCACCTACCCTGAGTCTGGTGAACACTACTTCTCCTCTAACATGTGAAGAGGTGTCCTGTGCAGAGTCTTCAGGAACATGGCTTTGACTTATTGTGAGAGGAGATCACAGCCAGGAACCTGCCTTGAGGCTCCCAGGCTGCACCTGCCTTATCTTCTCCAGGGCACTGTGAGTTGGGAATGAGCTCTCCTGGAGTGGAAGTGGTGGCCAGAGAAGGGCCTGTCTGGTACAGACTAGAACACCAGGCATCACCAGTCTCCACATACCTCTTCCCTTCAGCCGCTTGCGCTGCCTGACGCACAGTGTTACCAAGCTGATGAGTGCCAGGATGAACAGGACGCTCAGGATCCCAGAGAGCAGGATGAAGAAGTTGACATTTGAGCTGAAGCCAGGAGAGCAAAGGAGTTACCAGCGTAGATGGTAGCACAACACGATGCTGGCATAGCCCGTTACCAAACAGTGACCAAAAAAGGGACAAAAAGAGCTTTTATGCACTTGGCAGGAGGGTCTGGTTCTCCTGCAGCAATGATTTTTCCACCTGGCTGTGCCTTCTGAGCTTTTCTTAAACTACTCTCCAGGCTTTAAAAACAAGTCACTGTTCAAAGCTCAGAGCACGGATCCAGGCTCTCTGGAGCAGGTACTGCCTGTTCCTCCCATGTTTTGCCACAGAGGCCACCGACCCCAGGAAGACTGGAGTATTGCGGATGAGACATTAATAACTCGTGTCTGTTCAAGCTCAGAGACTTTCTTTAGGCCTTACCTTGGTGCTGGGTTGTCGCCAGAGGGAGTTCCTTGATTTGTGCCTCCAGCACCTAACGAAGTTGTTCCAGCTGATACTGCAATCACAAACGTGACACAAAGAATAATCACTACTAGGCTGCTTTGCATTTACCAGATAAACTTCCTTGCTGTTGCTACCATGGCTATAAATCCACTCCCTCTGTGACACCCAGCCCAGACGAGCTGCCCAGGCTGTAACCTGTGTCATCAAGACTTGGTGGCAGCAGGAAAAGCAACGTAAAGATCAGAATGTGGGAGGGAGGGAGGGAGGGGCAAGGGTCGCAGCAGGAGCCCCGCTCTGGGTGTACCCACCCCAAATCAGGGCAGAAGGAAGGGCTCTAAGTGCAAGCAGATATGCTCTGTGGCAAAGATCTTCAGGTAGCAATGAAGTAATTAACGGTTCTGTGCTTGAGCAGACAGGGGCTTGCTAAGAACTAAGCAAAGAGCCTTGTCTGTGAAAGACTCAGAATTGCTTCCAGGGCTGTTTCTGTGCCCAGGGAAGGTTGTGTGTGCAGGAGCCTGCGTTCAGTCCCATGTGTTAGGAGTTTCTCCTAGAGAATTGTGCCATCCCCTCTCATCTTCTGGATTGCCAAATCCCGTCAGCGCTGCTCTGTCACATTCCCGAAAACCAGGCTGCAGCATGGTGCTGGTCTGCCACAATCAGGTGCTCATCACACATTGTTAAAAAATGACGCTGAAATAAAACCTAGAAGTCACGAATCTTTAAAATATGGGTCTAAAGGTTGTCCCCTTGGCAACCAAATGTGAAGGTCTTAATAGTCTTTGAAAGCCAAGGGATGAGTTACTATAAAGGGGCAGAAATGTTATCATGAGAAAGAGTGACAGAAACACCTCTGTGAAAATGACTGAAGCTGCTCTCAAGGTAAAAGAGAAGCAACACAGCACACACGTGTGGTTCAGTTCTGGTCCTTGTCCCTGCTGCTGGTCCGTAGTGTGGTTAGTGTGAGTAGGTACAATGATGCAGGGTTTGGGCAGGGAAACACATCAGATGTATCACTGGAGGTGGTGTAAACTGGGCAGAGGGAGAGAGTAGGGAAGTGAGTCTGGAATCTACAGCCAACCACATTTCCCCACAGGTCAGTACTCACCCTCAGAAATATTGAGCGTAACCTCCACCATTCGGAAAATAAGATTGTGTTCGTAAAGTGCACACGAGTACACGCCGGAGTCCTGTGCCTGCAGCTCCCCCATGGTGATAGTGACAACCCCCTGCTCGGTGTCGTCTTGGATCGTGAGTTTGCCATGCTGAAATGTCCTCTGGTACTGTGAGGGCTTTGAATTTGTGGTGACCAGCACGCTACAGCCTTCCCTAGCTCCCTCTTTGCACCAGGCTTTGCTCGCAGCCCCGTACTCTGGGGCGCTGTATGGACACCGCACAGAGACGCTGCCTGACTCCTTGGCTGTGTAGTGTTGGGTCCCTGGAAAAAAACACGGTGTGTTTGGTGAGATCCAAAAGCAAACACGATGGCACCCCGTCACTGGAATACATGCTGTGTGCGGAATGCTCCGTGGATCTCCTTCTACCTCCAGATGTGAGGAGAGGAAAGGAACTGGACCCAGATTACTTGTGCAGAGACGAGTTAAAAATTGGATAGGTTCTGTCCCCTTTTTCTGGTTCTCTCAAGGACTATGTGCCCACAGGGCCTGGGAGGCAAGGACCAGGGAGGGCTGGCACTTGTGAGGCCAGAGGAAGAGCAATGCCTGGCAGGGGGGCAGGTCCCCAGCAGCGCCCAGTGTGGGTGACCCGAGTGCTGGGCTAGGGAAGCTGCTCCTGGAGCCCCTGGATCGGTGCTGTTGGGAGGCATTGGGAGCCCATGGGAACCTCCCCTGAGTCTCTACTGGGAGCAGCCAGAGCATGAAGGGCCAGGCCTGAGCCTCACAGGCCCAGGACACAGCTGTCAGCGTGTCTGCCAGGGAGACAGACAGACAGGGAGAGATGGGTGTCAGCTGTGCGGTGGCAGCAGTGTGGCTCAGGATGGGGGAGAAGCAGCAGGGGAGGTGGGGCTGAAACGTGCCAACACCCACATTTGGCTGGCAGCAGGTACTCACTCTTGGACACATTGACGCTGGCCTCCATTATCAGGTTGATATGAGAGTGTTGGTAGAGCCCACACCAGTACACACCAGTGTCCTGGGCCTGAAGCTTGTGCATGGTGATGGTGACAGTCCTTCTCTGGCTGTCAGCCTGGATCAGTGTTCTGTCTTCCAGAGCTTTGCTGTTGCGCTGTGCTGAAGGGTAACCTGTCCTCGCCACAACTTTACAGTCAGTCTGAGTTTTTCGACACCAGGCTATGACATCTGTGTTGTGCACCCAGGCGCTGTATTTGCACTGCACAGAGAGACTGTCCAACTCCCACGCGTGCAGCTCTGCAAAAGAGCAAATGTAGTCCCTGACCCGTGAGCGGTGGGCACGTGGGCATCCGCCTCCTGGCCTGAGCTGGGCATCTGGGCCAAAATCTGCCCTGGGGCAACTCCCTCATGGATGGCCCATCACTTAGGGCAGGATAAGAGAGAGCCGAGGGGCCAGCCGGGTCTGTGAGGCTCCTTCACACCGTGTCTGTGTGAGCGGGGAAGGCAGTGAGTGAGGCTGGGGAGGGTGGGGGAGCAGTGAGGGTTGGGGGAAGCTGTGTGGGAGGGTGGGGAATGATGTTGCTTTCTGACAAGACTTGGGTTTGTCTGGGGAAAAAGGTACTCACCCTTGAAAACATGCAGTGAGACCACCTTTAGCTGAAGATACCTGTAACTGGAGGAGATGGAAGCACAGTAGTATATGCCCGAGTCCTCTGTCTGGAGGTTAGTCATGGTGATGAACACAGTCCCATGCATGGGGTTGTCCTCTATTGTAACATTCCCATTTGTGCTCTGGTTTGTGTGTAAGTATTTTGTTGGGTTGGTCGTCAGCGCCAAGAACTCCACTTCACCGTATCTCACACGGTACCAGACTTTTGGCTGATAGGAGTTAGCCTGTGCAGTGTAAGGACACTGGACATAGAGTGTGCTTCCTTCTGATTGTCTCTCCTTAGACTGAGGTATTTGGGCTTGGAAACCTGTAAATATCAGATGAGGTGAGGGAGGGGGGAGCTGATGCAGGGCTGCCTCAGACCCTCCCCCATGGGCACTTGTGTCTAAAGAAACTGGAAACCAAGATCCGTTCCCCCTGCTAAATCCACCTACTTGGAAAGGGAAAGGTTGATTTCTGGTGTCCAGTGTTGAGATTTGATCTGGAACCACAACCGTGATTTAAAACCCACAGACGTGTGGGTGCTAGAGGTGTCGGACCTTCAAGCCCATGGTGGTGCAGGGTTTGGAGGTCCCCCACCAGCCGAGACACATTCTTACTGCTCCTTGCTGCAGGCAAAATGGAGACGGACCGTTCCCCACTCCCCGTGGAGCCCAGCGGCCGTCGGTATGGGATGGTGGGATGGGGCAGAGGGGAGCAGCCGGGGCAGTGTGTGCGCTGGGGATGAAATGCCCAACCCATGGCTGGGTCTGAGCTTACTCCAACAGCCTCCAGCTCCTCCGCGCCACATCCTCGGGGGATGCCCAGCGACTCATGGATGTGGGGCTGTGCTAGGTGCAGGGCTGCCTTGATTCCCCAACATGCTGAAAGCTTTGTGTTTTCTGCTGGGATGGCAGGGGAGGCAGGCAGGTGCCCCTGAGCAGCCCTGTCCTGACCCACGAGTGCAGGTGGAGGAGTCGAGCAGAGCTGGGCAGCATGATGGAAAATGCTGACCGGGAGATGCCACAGCTCTGTGCTCCCAGGGTTGTTTGTCCTGGGAACCTGGAGGAGCCAGATGGTGGGATTTGGGGATGCCCCTTCCCTCCCCACCTCTGCCATGAGTTGCCCAGCTCAGAGTTCTGCTGGTGTTGGATTCTCCCTCACTGTGGAGCTCCACGGGCAGCGGGAGGTGGGGAAGGGGGTCCCACTGCCCCTGGGTGTGTGGGAAGCCCGAGGCATGCTGAGCCTTTCTCTTACCTGGGCAGCAGAGCAGTAGCAGCAGGAGGACTCTCAGCTCCATGGCCATCCTCAAGCCCAGGGAAGGGGCATTGCTGGGGGCTGCCCGACGGGTCCCGTTTAAAAATGTCTGTCTGGTGAGCCCTCCTGCATCACAGTGACGCTGCTCAAGGAAGTGCCTGAGGTCTTGCTTTCCCGCGGAAATCCTTCACCATGTTTTGCAACAAAACTGATATTAAGATAATTTCAGAAGGCATTTGAGGAAGTGGCTGAGAGCAGAGCTTGGCCCATCCTCGTGGCAAAGGCCCTTTGCTGCTCTCAGCTGGCCATGCCACGCTCTGACCTCGCACCAGTGGCCTTTGGCTGTCCCTAGCCGTGGGAGATGGAGCAGGTCCTTTGCCCTGTCCCAGCCCTTCTCCCAGGGCTCCAAGATGCCCTCTGCCCAGTCCCCTGCTGGGAAGACTCCTCAAAGCCAGGGTGGCAATGAGTCCAGGGCTGTGCCTGCGTGGACCCTCCCGCGGGCCGTGCTATTTGGGATCCCAGATCTCCACCCTCCCAGCCAGCCCTCTTGCGCCCTGTGCTCTGCCCTGCACAGACCCCTCGGGGTGCCTCCCCCCAGAGTGCCCAGCTGGAGAAACCAAACCAGAACCGTTTGGCTTTTGCACATTATCTCCACAGGCACGACTGAAGTGATTTTAAGTACAGGGAAAACAATGCAAATACTGGAATAATCTCTTCAAAGCAGCTCCTGACATGGCTGACTGTTGGCTCAGCATGAGAAAGGACAGCTAAACGCAGCTTCCTGGCTCTGCATGTCCTTTTGGCTCCCCCATATGATTCAGCAACTGGAGATGACAGGGTGAGAGAACTGGGAGTCAGGAGCAGCCCAGTAGGTAAAATGAACTGAGGAGTACAGGGAGCAGAGAACAGGAGGAGCAGGTGGGTCAGCAAGCCTGGGAAGTTAATTTGTCTGCAAGAAAAATGAGGAGGAAGGAGTTTCTCCAATTAAAAAAAAAAAAAGGAAAAAAAAAGAGAAAAAAATAAAAGTCACTCACCTGTGAAAACAGCCAGCTTAATTTCCTGTATTCACCAGAGGCAAGAGTCATTATAAAGAGCACCCCAGTGCTCCCCACTGTCTTGTCCTGCAAGCTTCTCCATGGTGACGCTGAGAACTCCCCTCTGGGTGTCTTCATTTATGGTGTATCTTCCTTTCTGAGTGTCACTCTCATACTGTCTGCTCACCTTTTCTGCAGTGATCGAGACAACGCACTCTTTCCCAATTGCCTGTTTGCACCAGACTTCCCCACGCAGCCTTGTAATCTTGCGTGTTGTACGGGCACTCAGCAGAGAGACTGCATCTGCCTAGCTGTGTATCCTTGGGTTTCTGGAAAAGGTCAGACCGGTTAGTAAGGTCCAGACAAAATGTCCAATTACATCAGTTTTCCCACAATTAGAATAAGCACAATTATTGTAATCCAGTTTACACACATTTTAGCTTCAGGAGGGTTGAATTGAACTGGGATGCTAAATAAAATAATATTCAAAATATTCTGTCCTTCTGAAGCAAGTTGAGATTAATATAATCATGTTCCCAAACAAAGCAAAGCCTATTGTAACAGAAACATCAAGAGTCTTTGCTCTGAATTCATCAGCTAAATTGGTGATCAGAGAAAAACAGCTGAGAGAGAGAGAGAGAGAGATCTGGGGCACCTTATGCACAAAAAAAATTACTAAAACAACTTTTTATCTGGAAAGGAAATGACAGGGGTAATATTACCAAAGTCTATAAAATCAGGAATATCAGGGAGAGAACAGGAGCAATAATTCAGTGTCTGTGCTAAGGAGGAAGTCACTGGTTAGGAGAAAAGGAAATTCTCCACACATGCATCGAGTGCGGGGCTCACTGCCACAGGATGTTCATATACCAGAAGTTTTTGTGTGTCAGCAGAACGAGTAGATGAATTAAAGAAAAAAAAAAAAAAAGAAAAATAATTGAGCCGTTGCTATTATAACAAAAATATTCTCTCCAGAATATCACTGGAGGCTGGGAGAGTATTCTGGAGAGTTGTTGCTATGTGCTTCTCTGGTTTTATACTCCTTCCTAATTATCTGCTTCAGCCAGTGTTGGAGACCTTTGGTCTGACCTACTATGGCTATTCCTCTGTAACCCGGGAGAAGGTAATACAAAACACCGAAAAGGTAAGCAGATGAAGCGAGGCAGAAATCTACAAAATGCCCCATTTTTTCCTTAAAAAAAAACCCCAAAAAAACAACCAAACTCACTCTTGGAAACAGAGAGCTTAATCTCAACCAGCTGGGAAAAACGAGAACCTGTACAGCGTGCACACCTACAGTGTGCGTCTGCATTGTGACAGCGATACCTTAGTCTTCGGTTTGCAGCTTCTGCATTGTGACAGCGATTGTCCCCTTCTGGGTGTCGTCGAGTATTGCGTTTCTCTCAGAGGGAGACTTGTTTTGATATGCTGATAGGTGGTGATACCACATGTCTCTTTCCTTCAACACCAGGTTTTCCTTGTAGCATTGTATGTAGGGACATACAACAGAGACTCAGCTCCACAGCAGAGGGATACTGGACCACTGCAGAGTATAAGAACCAGAGTATAAATCCCAGCTAAGAGCCACGATGACACATCTTCCATGAATGACATATCCACCATGGGGTAAAGTCTTCACAGGTGAAATCCAGACCCTGGCCCCAGCTGGGACCTCAGTCCTCTGTACCTCACACACTGCCCACTCTCTCTATCTCTTCCATAGCAACTTGTTTTCCCACAGAGTGCTAAGTTCTGACAGAAAGCAGCTGCTGGATGTAAGTGTAGTAGCAACTTCAAGACACAAGTGCTCCATCTCTCCTTTCCTGTTACCATGATCACAGCAGAGCTGGGAGAAACTCATCAGCGTTCACAGCTGAGCAGCCTCAGCCCATTAGCAAATGAGTTAGTATAAAATCACTGGTAGAGGCAGTAATTCTCTTTTCAGACTTTGTGGAAGGATCCAGCAAGCAAGGAGTTGCTCAGTAAATACTTAGGCTGGCTTATCTCAGGTCATGGCTTTGGGAAAAAAAAAAAAAACAAAACCAAAAAAGCCTCTTGTAAAAATGTTTGAAAGAACATAAAATTGAGGTAAGCCTTAAAGTAATATTTTTTTTTTTTACATAGAAATGGAGAAAAAAAGAGACTAACGTAGCAATTTTTAATAGCATTTTGTTTGAATTCTTGGTCTGAGGAGTGTGTGATCCAGCAATAAGGTAACAAAAGGGTAAGGGAGAAGGGGAGTCTGGGGAACATTCAAGTGTTTCCCCAAGGTTTCATGGTTATTTGTCATTATGTGTAGCTTTTGTAGCCATTGTTTTTGTGCTGTCTGCCTGTTTATCAGTACAAGCCTTGCAGTAAGTAAGACAGAATGAGAGTGGGGAAAAGGACCGTAAGGGAGTGGGCAGGGGAGCGTTTGCAGAAGCCAGTTCTGCGGCATTTCTCGTGGTGTGGCTCTGTCCGTGCCCTGTGCAGCGTCACGAGTTGTGCAAGAGGATGAAGCACCAGGCTGGCAGGGGGCATGCAGTTGTTTCAGCGCTGGCTTACAAACACTTCCCCATTCAAGAGGCTGTGACGTGCCAGAGAGGGAGGACAGACTTCTAGCACTATTTTCAAAATTTCCAGTATTTATCCATTGAAAGTGTAGAGAGTTGATGTTGGATCTCAGCATCCCTCTGCATTGCTAATAGGCAAATGGGATCTTTCCCTGACTCCAAATCAATAATTTTTCACTATAACACAAATTTAAGTAAAAAATCTGATCTTTCACAGAAAGCAAATATATTTTGGTGTTAAAAATCACAAATTTGCACTAAAGTGTGGTTTTCCTCACCTGAAGATTGCTGGCTGGCTGTGAAGACCTGGTGTCAAAACTCTTTTGTGTTGTAGTATTGGGGAATTCCTTGGCTTTAGCCTGTCATACTTGAGCATGAGTCAGAAACAGTCCCTTAAAAAAATGAAGACATTGCCCTGTGTGGCTCAGTGCCAGTTCCACTGTAGTCCTGAACAAGTTTTTGTGAGGGCTCGTGGGTTCAGTGTGTGTATTTGAGATAAAGGGAGGGATCAGGTAGGAAACTGTGGCCGTCAAAAGATGAGGAGATTCTCCAGCTTTGGTTACAGCTTAGCACTGTGCTCAGGGACAGATCTTTTCATACCTATTCGAGCTTTCTGTCTAGGGATACATTGAGCACAAATATATATGGAATTATATTCCCTCTATGGAATAGCTAACAGGCCTGAGCTGGTTCTGCGGAGGCTTCAAAAGACTGAGGATATAAAAGGTTTGGTAAGGAAATAGAAGACACTGTCGGTTGTGTGTGATAGTAAATCTCTGGGAGTCATTCCTGGGGGCTGCTGAAATAGTATTATACCGCTGTCGTTTAGATGATACCCGTTCCAAAATTATTAGCAACTCTTTTATGTACGTTTGCTTCCTTGCTGCCTCCCAAAGACTCTCCTTTTCCTTGACGGAAGCTTTCAGAGGGATCCTTCCCTTCAGAGCTGCTTTTTGTGTAGTGCATCAAGGGTGCAGGGCTCTGTGCACTTAGTCTGGTGGGCCTCAGTACTCTGGGTTCTGCATCTTAATAATCAACTCCTAAGAGGCATTTAACAGCCATGAAACAAATGCTTTAAGGCCTTCCTACCTTGACTCACACAGATTTAACCTGTCCTTAAGTAACTGATTTCTGTTAAATATTGCACGTGCAGAGAAGGGATCGCTGCTGGGACAGTTGTCCCTTGAGCCAGTGACCACGTTGTCCTTTCAGGGGGTGGTGGAGCTGGGCCAGGCAGTGCCAGGGGACATGTTGTTTGTATGACACACACCTGTTTTGGAAGAGGAAACTCTGCCCAGAGTGACTTGGCTTATGGTCCTGGAGAAGCCAGAATCTCCAGGTAATAGGAACCAGAGCTGGCCCATCTCCATCATAGCAGTGCAGAGTGTTTCTCAGTCTGAAAGGAAACTTGCTTTGGTGGTGGAAACTTAAAAAAAATTCCTTTTCTAGTGCTGGAGTATCATGCATTGTATAGCAGCTTAGACAAATGCAAGAGAAGCACTGTACCTGAGCTCCCCTTG